TCTCGCTCTTGCTCAGGCTGGTCTCGAAATCCTCAAGTAATCCTCCCGCCTTGGCCTTCCAGAGTGCTAGGATTACAGGCGTGAGCTACTGCATCTGGCCTGGTTGGTTTTCAGTTTTGATAAAGTTGAATTTATCCATATTTTTGTTTTAGTATTGCTTTTTGCTTCTCCCTTAGAACTTCTGTACACAATTTCTTCAGCTTCACATATATGCTTATGATTTTTTTTTTCCTTTTTAAAATAGGATCTCACATTGAAGCCCAGGATAGAGTGCATTGTACAATCATAGCTTGCTTATGCCTAGAATCCTGGGCCCAAGCAATCCCTCCTGCCTCAGCCTCCTGAGTAGTTAGGACCACTAGGTGCATGCCATTGTGCTCCTCTGATTTTTTTATTTTTTGTAGAGACAGGGTTTCACTATGTTGCCTAGGCTGGTCTCAAACTCCTGGGCTCAGACACTCCTTCTGCCTTGGTCTTCCAGAGTGTTGAGATTACAGATGTAAGCCACTATACCTGGTCTCCTTCTAATTGTAGAATCAGCTTGTAATTTTCTAAAAAAAAATTTGCTGGGATATTGTTGAACCTATAAATCAATTGAAGAGAGCTAATATTTTACAATATTAGTCTTCGTATATAACATGGTATATTGGGTCTTCTTTAATTTTTGATGTGCCTTTGGTTAAATTTGCTCATTTTTTTATGTTTAGTAAATGAAACTTTAAAATCTCATTTCAGTGTCTGTACTAGTACAAAAAATACAATTAATTTTTATTATTAACTTGTACCTACAGCCTTGTTAAATTCATTATTATTCTACTAGTTACTTGGTAGGTCTCTTAGGATTTCTAAGCTGACAACATATTGTCATCTGTGAATACAGACAGTTTACTTCTTTCCAACCCCCCGTTGGAGAGTGAGGAAGTATGATTTAAAAAAGGAAGAAAATCTGTCAGGGACTCAAAATCTGTGTAAAGAGCTTCTGAAAGCAGATGGGTCTAGAAAGGAACTTCTAGAAAAACAGCATACACTAATGTTGAAAAGAGATACTAGCAGGTGAAAAGAAAGCCAATTTATCCATACTCCTCCCATTCCTAACTCCTCTTTTTATGTTCAAAAAAAGCTGGTCTTATGCTTTTCTAAGGCAAACCTTTCATCTTGCTGCCTCTAAAACTTTTCTTCATCCATTACTGACTCCTCTTTGTCCCATATCCTCCATTCTACCTTCCTACTCCTCTTCTGATTTGTCCATTAAAGTGTTCAAGATTATTCTTCCTTCAACCCAGTGTTTCTTTTAAAGTACTCTCCCTTTACCACACTTATTAAAAGAGTACACCATACTCATTGTTTCTCACCTCCTATTCATCCAAACTTTAAATCACAATAGTTCGCCTTACAAAATCTTCTCCCCAAGAATAAAAAAACTTTCCTCATTAATGTTACCAAGAAGCTTTTTTTTTTGTTTTTTTGAGACAGCGTCTCACTCTGTTGCCCAGGCCAGAGTGTCATGGCGTCAGCCTAGCTCACAGCAACCTCAAACTCCTGGGCTCAAGCAATCCTTATGCCTCAGCCTCCCAGAGTAGTTGGGACTATAGGCATGCGCCACCATGCCCGGCTAATATTTTTTTCTGTATATTTTTAGTTGGCCAATTAATTTCTTTCTATTTTTAGTAAAGACGGGGTCTTGCTTTTGCTCAGGCTGGTCTTGAACTCCTGATCTTGAGTGATCCGCCTGCCTCGATCTCCCAGAGTGCTAGGATTACAGGCATGAGCCACTACGCCCAGCCAATGTCACCAAGAAACTTTTAATTGCCAAGCCCAATGTCCAAGAGGACAGTGTGCATGCTACATGAACTTCCTATAACACTGTGCATTAGCATTCCCAACTCTCATGCAATTTTTTACTGGGTACAGTAATGCTGCCATTCCTGACTCAGCTTTGGCAACTCTTTCGTTGCTTTCAGTGGTTTAACTATTTCAGAAACCTTGGTGTTACTTAGATTTCTGCCTCCTTTTCTATTCTAACTATTCAGTCTCTAAAGATCATTTCAACTACCAAAGTTTCAACTATCACAGAAAAGCCAGAGATTCTTAAATTCCTAAATCCTGCTTCCCTCCTGAAATTTAAGACTATATTTATAGGTCATCTGTTCTTGAGTTGGATATTCCACTAACAAAATTTAAACTGTCAACTAATCCAGAGACCTCAACCATCAAATATTATTTCCCTCACTACACAAAATTGATTAATCACCGAATTGGAACCATTTCTATTCCTGTAATATCCTAAAAAGTCCATTTCCTCATTTTTATCTCTACTGCATCTGCCATTGCAGGCCTCACTACTAGATTACTGAAACAACTTCTTAACAAGTCTTCTTGTCTCTAATTACTCTCTTTTCCACTGTCACTCCCAATTCATCCTCCACATGGATGCCAGAATAGTCTTTCCAAAATCAACTCTGACCATCCCATCTTGGTCTGTTTTTGCTGACTCTTTATATTAGAATCTGGCTAACACTGGAGGCTTCTGTCTCTGCCACTATTTCTCACCATCTTATACCATTCCTACAGCAAGGTAGTTATAGAGTCCCAGGACAAACTAATCCCTTTAAAACCTCAATTCTGCTCTTGCTATTCTCCCTCTTCCAAAATGTTGTTCCTCTACTGGGCAAGCTCTCATGCAACTTTTAAGACCTAACTCATACACAAAGTCCTATAAAAAAGAACTTTCCCAACTCTTCCCAGTAGAAACAACATCTCTCTTTCCACCTTGATTCTCACAGTACTTGAGACATATTTCTACCATTCATTTTTTCGTATCACTGAGGTCTTATGCTGGGCACTGAAGGTATCACAACTAAAAGAGAAGAGTATTATCAAAATTTTCAAGAACAAACTTAAAAAAACAAGATTACAGTTTGTTATTGTATGAGACTGAAACAAAATCCTCCAAAAATTGTTGTATTCAGGATTAGATATCAATTCTTGCATAGTAAGTACTACACAGATAAATTTTTTTAAAATAGTGGTTACCTGAACACAAAGCATAAAGTTTAAAGCAGCAAAACATTAATAAATATAAACCTCACATGATGAAATTTTATTTAAACTGCTTTTGATACGTGAAACCATTGACAGCAGTTTTTTAAATGTTTAGGTTATAATATTTAATAACTATTTTTGGACTTTGGAAGGCTTAAGGCTTAACAAAGAGAAAGAACAGTGCCTTATGTACTCTCTTTGTGAATATATTTTCTTCAAAATATAAAAAGCTTTACTGTTTTTTTTCCAATAAGCAATAAATGCTCACTGCACAACAAAGCAAAGAAAAATACCTCAGAGAGTACAAAGATACAAAGAAAATCAGTTATTGTAATTTCTCTCAGAGAGAACTGGTTTAGCAGAAAAATAGGAAGAGGCCTAGAATGTCATGCTAAGGTGGCTGCATTTAACTTAGTTAGCAGAGAGACACTAAGGATGTGAATTTGAAAGGCCACAGCATTTTACAGAAGAGAAGAAAGAATTGCTTTGACATTTCTGAAAAGCAACACAGTGATATTAAATACTTTTTGACCTAATAAATTTACTTCTTATAACTCTATCCCACAAAGACAAGTAGCAGGGATGTATGGATCCACGCTCAAGGAGGTTTTCTTCTGCCTTTTATGTAGAAGCTCAAACTGGACACAACCTAAATGATCCCTAGTAGCAGAAATGGCTGAATAATATAGAATAGATATACCATAATTTATCTAGCTCTCAGCATATGATTTAGATCTATCTCTACTGACCTGAAGCACAGAAAAAGCAAACTACAGAGTAATGTGAATGATATGATCCCATTTTTGAAACAAATATAAAAAACCTGAAAGGAAGAGACAATGATAATAGCTAAAACCCAAGTCTAAAAGAGTATGAAAATGGCTGTACCATTCATAGAAGAGGTCAACAAGAGATGATAGAAAAAAGGAAAAATTTCACTTTGGGCATGCTAAATTTAAGGGGTCATGTAGTAGTTGAGGAATATGGTTCCAGGGCCCAATGTGGCCCACTATCTGTTTTTCTTCCACAGCATGTGAGCTAAGAATAGTCTTTACATTTTAAAAAAGAGGCTGAAAAATATTAAAAGAATAATATTTTTAGATATGAAAATCATATGAAATCAAACTTCAGTGTCCAAAAGTAGTTTTATTGGAGCATAATCACACTTACCTGTTCACACATTGTCTACAGCTGCTTTTGCACTATATCACAGAGCTGAGGAGTTGGAATAAAACCATATGTGGCCGGCAGCCTAAAAAATTTACGGTACTACGTGTTTCTTTCCTGAAAAAGTTTGGAGCACCTGCCTGGCAAATGGAGCTTATTTCTAAAGTTCAGATATTACTTTATGAATTTGAAGCTATGGTAGCAGAATATTTAGAGAAGCAGGATGAACAAAGAGCCTTAGAAAAACATCCATATTTAGGACATGGAGATTTAGAGAACCACCATTAAAAAGGAGAAAAATGAAGAAAATCAGTATGATATGGGACCATGGAATTCAATACAACAGAGTTTCAAAACAGAGGTTGTGGTGAGCACTATTAAAAGCATAAATTAAAAAAGGAAAAATGACACGACTAACTAATGAGCATTAGAATGATGGTCAAAGCTTGAGTTCCAGAGTTGGTTTTGCTACTACCTAACAGAGCTTCAGCACCCTCACCTAAAAATGAAGGGCTGCACATTCTTTGCAAAGCCTTTTGTAGTGTCAATGTTTTATATTTTTGATCTGAGCAAAGGCAGAATGGTTACAGGAAGTGGCAGTGGGAAAGTGAAGGCTGTCAAATATTCTCTTACTTCAAGAACACTGGTACTGCTGAGAACTTCTCAAAGGAGTGAAAAAGGGATACAATTAAGGGTACAGATAGAGGATTTAGTTCTAACATGTTCTAGAAGTTCTAGAAATTAAGCTTAAAAAAGCATATCACCTTACCCAATATATTCATCTTTGTTTTCCTCAGTGACCAGGATATTGGAACCTCCCAACTTCAGGTCATGTGAAGTAACTTTTCCCAAAATCTCCATGTCAACAGAAAAGTACATTTCTAAGCCACATTCTTCGATGTTGTTGTCTCTGGATGAAATAAATAAGTAAATATATATATATAATATATATACATTATATATATAATATACACACACACACATACACACACTGATTTACAAAATGTATAAATGGATTTCAAGAAAATGCCTTATTGAAAAAATAAATCTCAAACCTTATCCAGATAAGGGAGTTATAAAATTCAGTGTCAATAGATTCCAAATCCTTAATAGTAAGTTTTTTACTTAGCATACGCTTGTAGAATGGTAAAGAGAAACCAGTATCAATAAACTTTCCATGAAATAGTGCCTGTCAAGAAAAACAAAAAACTTTATTTAAAATCCACAAAATAACAATTTCTTATATAGAGATTAATACAGAGAAATCACAATGTTTTAAAGACAAAAAAAAAGAGCACTTAGTAAATGAACAGCATAAATCATGAAATCTAAAATATTATGTAAAATGCTAAGCATGAAAAACAAATCAGAGTTAAAAAAAAACTCTATTTCACTGAGGTCAAACATTTAACCATATTATGTACTATCAAAAGCTGTGAACAGGATGATAAAGGACCTCTATTATCAATCTTACTTTTCCTAAATGTTTTATAAATAAATATTTTATAAATTAAATTAACCTCATTGGATGAAGAACTTAGGAAGGGCCCTGAACACCTGGAAAGGCCCCTCTTCCATTCCTTTCTTACTTGAAATTTTCAAGACTAACCTGATGTGCCTTCACTACTATTTACAACAGCCACCACAAGAAGCCTCAGATGTATAATCAGCTTGTAAATTGTTCTAAAAAAAATTTGCTGGGATACTTGTTGAAGCCTACCTAAATCAATTGAAGAGAGCTAATAAAATTTAACAATATTTAGTCATTTCGATATAGTACACGATGGTATTATTGGGTCTTCTTTACATTTTTGATGCCCTTTTGGTAATTGCTCATTTTTTATGTTTTAGTAAATTGAATACTTCAAAATCTCAATTTCAAGTGTCCTGTTCTATACAAAAAAATACAATTATTTTTTATTATAACTTGTACTGACAGCCATGTTCAAATTCATTATTATTTCTACTAGGTACTGGTAGGTCTCTTAGGAATTTCTAAGCTGACAACCATATTGTCATCTGTGAATACACGACACGTTTTACTTCTTTCCAAAACCCTTATGGCTTTTTTATTTCCTGCTTGTTTTATTGCATTGGCTATGGCACTTGTACAATGTTGAAAAGAAATGGTGAGAGTAGACAACTCCTGCCTGCTTCAATCTCAACGGAAACCTCTAAAATCGTTACCATTTGTGAATGATGGGAAGTTTTTTTGCTTATTGCTGCTGATGCCTTTAATCAACTATAATACTTGGCCTTTTATGGCTTAGTGTAATATGCATTTTAACGAATGACGCTTACATCTTCTTTAAAGTTTAAATAAATTTTAACCTATAAAGGGACATGATTAGAAAGTCATTTATGTTTGATAATAGTATCGAATAAACCATCTATTGTGGCCAGTCATTCATGCGGTAGACGCACAGATGAATGGGATAGAAAAATAATAGCAGTAGCGATAGAAAATTAAATAAAGCAAAACGGAAAAAAAAATGGTGATTAACATTATACGTTAACTACAGGTAAAGCAACTCAATAACCAGTGCAGCCTTCAGGTTTCTTATTCCGTATAAAAGAGAATTATCTCATACTGGTCTACCTATTTCACAGGGTTGTATGTCGAACATTATCAGGGAACATCTACCCAACAGTATCAGTTTCATTACTATCTTCATATATATTACCGAAAAAGTAATGCTCCCTTCTTCTTTCCCCCTTCGACCTAAATGTTTCTAGTCTTCATGTCTGGCACAATATAGGGCGCTCTCACTGCGGCTCTTCTGACGGGTGGGCCCTCTAAAAAGGTGTTCTTAATTGGGTTTGTGAATACTTTTTGACTGTTTCACTTTTAGAGGATGCAAGATTCGGTCCTTATTCATGATTCTAAAGTGAAGGAGTGTGATTTTTAAAAATAGATTCAATAAATACACTCTAAGAAGGTAGGAAGGAATCACTCTGAGCTGGAGGGGTTACAGTGAGGTTACAGTGAGCTATGATGATGCCATGTACTCTAACCACAAAAAAGTAGGCAAGAAGAGTCCCTTGTCTCCAAAAATATTTAGATGCCCATTTTTCATATGCACAATTCCCTACCATGAAATGAACCAAGTTCTTAATACAAGGTCAACTGGCTGCCAGTTAAAATACTTTGGCCAAAACCCCCAAGTGGAGCTAAACAGGAAATACCAAGACCTATTCCTAATGCCCCTCCATTCTGCTAATCTATACCAAGCAACGCAAGACCTCAGAATTCCTGGTAACGCTAATCATCCGCTAGGGAAAATACCAATATTCAAAAATCACAATTGACATTTGCCTATCAGGGTGGCTACTATCGAACAAACAAACAAAACAGAAAACAGAAAAATACAGGTATTGAAAAGGAATGTTTTTTGTTTGCGCAGGAATTAGAATCCTTCTATACTTTTGATGAAATAGGAACAAATGGAACAGTTACTAAGCAAAACAATATGACAGTTTCCTTAAACAAAAAGTATAGATCTACTCACGATCCACGGCATAACCACTCCGGGTAATACTCCTAAACAATTGAAGCAGGATTTCAAACCCAGAGATTTGTACACCAATGGTTCATCAAGGCACCAAATTATTCATATAAGCCAAAACCGGGCGACCCCAAAGGTCATCGAAGATGAATAGACAATCAAAGATATATAGTGTGTATATAACCAAATGAAAATATCAGCGTCTAAAATAAAGGAAATTCTGAAGCAACTGCCTAGCAACACAGATAAACTCTTGAGGTATATTATGCTAAGGAAATAACCTCAGAACAGAAGACTCAAAACAAAAAGAACAAATATCGGATGAATTCACTCTTTCGATGGTATCTCAAACGAGTAGTCAAACTCTTAGAAACAGAATTACGCACGGTATTGCCAGGAGCTGGGGGTTTATGGGCTGAGGAAGCGTTATGAATAGGAGGCGTTGTTTAATGGGTATACGAGTCTCAGTTTTGCAAGATGAAAATTGTCGGAGACTGGCATCATAATAACCATGCAAATACTTTAACATTACCGTGCTGAAGTATTTACTTACAAATGGTGTCAAGATCGAAAGTTTTATGTTATCTGTACTTTATCTCATACAAATACAAGAATTCCTGTATACTTCAACAGCTCTAAATACAGTTAAGACCACTACAAAATAAATTCATGACTAAGAACCTCTGATCCTTTGGACAATTCACCATCTAAACAGAGATTCAGAAAATTCTAGAAATTATTCAAAATGTTCAATCAACTTTTTACTGAACCCCTAAGCAGGTTCACCTGATTGATGATTGTTGGTGCTCATGATGTTATCAAGTTAATCAAAACTACCTCACCCCCAATGCTAGAATTAACCGCCCCTAGAACAACGGAATACGACGCAATCGAAAGGTAGCACACCACAAATGTGTGGATGCTGTTCTGTAAAAGCAGCAAACCACCCAGCCCTCCCCGCTAACATTCCCCGCACAATAGGCATAATATAAAAACACCTAACCTCCTAATTTTTTCATCAAAGTACCTGGTACGCACTGAAGAGGAACAACATAAAAACCCGATCAAGGAAAGCCTGGTCTGTTCTGTACTCCCCGAGAAAGAACGCCATCTGGTCTTAAACTGAAAATAAAGGCCGAATAGTCTACTAAAAAGTAGGTACATCCTGTATATTCGCAAGTAAAAGGCCTAAAAAGCATCAAGGAACTTCTAGTCCTTTTCTTTTTAAGAGAAACTACATATATACGAACACAAAAAACACAGCAATAAATGGGTGCATGTGATATTTATGGGGTACAATGAATTTTACGTGTAACACATGCTTCTCCATGAGGAATGAGTTTTCTAAGCACATTGATATAAAACGGATACTTTAAAATAGAAAATTTCCACTGTATACAAATCAAATCCTAAGCACAAATTATCCCATTATACTTGACAAACTAACTCAAAATGGTTGCTGACGGACAAGGATGAGCCATTTAAAGTCACTCTCCTCCACACCACACAAGCACTTGCCAGAGCCCTGACTCAAAGCCGTTCCCCACCTAAAGGGACAGCAGGCCCCATCTCAATAACTGCGATGACAATCTGTCCCACAGGCCCCGGTGCTGATCAGGTTAGTCTGAGAAGACTTAAAGCTTGAGGAAAGAATTTACATGTTGGTTTTAGCTGAGAACATGAAAGATCGCTACCGGCACATGGGAAAAGTCAAATAAGATCGAACCACCGGACCATTCTGAGAAAACCACATATACCAAGCATTGGAATTGAGGAAGTATGTTTAACAAAAGGAAAGAAAATCTGTCCCAGGGACTGCCAAAAATCTGTGTAAAGAAGCCTTCTAACAGCAGAATGGTCTAGAAAGTAACTTCCTAGAAAAACAGCAATACAATAATGTGAAAAAGAGAACTAAGGCAAAGTGAAAAGAAAGCCCATATTTATCCATACTTCCTCCCCATGTCCAACGCTCTTTATGTTCCAAGCAAAAACTGGTCTTGAATGCTTTTCTACAGGCAAACCTTTCATCTTGCTGCCTCTAAAACTTTTCTCCTATCCATGTACTCGACTCCTCTTTGTCCGCATATCCTCCATTTAGCCTTCCTACTCCTCTTCCGAGATTTGTCCATAAAAAGGTGTTCAAGATTATTGCTTCCTTCAACCCAGTGTTTCTTTTAAAGTACTCCTCCCCTTTACCACCTTATAACGAAATACCCATACTCATTGTACTCCACCTCCCTATTCTACCCAAACTTTAAATCACAATAGTTCCCTTACAGAAATTTCTCCCCAAAATAAAAAAACTTTCCTCCATATAATGTTACCAAGAAGCTTTTTTTTGTTTTTTTGAGAAGCGTCTCAGCTCTGTTCCCAGGCCAGTACGTGTCATGCGTCCAGCCCTAGCTCACAGCAACCTCCAAACCTGGCTCAGCAACCTGATGCCCAGCCTCCCAGAGTAGTTGGGACCTATAGGCATCCGCCCACCCCCTATGTCGCGGTAATATTTTTTCTGTATATTGTTTAAGTTGCCAATTAATCTTTCTTTTTTAGTAAAGACGGGGTCGTTGCTTTTGCTCAGGCTGTCTTTGAACTCCTGATCTTGAGTTGATCGCCTGCTCGTATCTCCCCAGAAGTGCTAGGCAGTACAGGCATTAGAGCCACTACGCAACCAGCCAATGTTCACCACAGGAAACTTTTGTAATTGCCAGCCCATATGTCCCAAGAGGACAGTGTGCATGCTACATGACACTTCCTATAACACCGG